TATAATAAGACGAATCCTCAAGCTGAGGATACAAGACAAATCCTCTATCAGAGGATATAAGACAACTCCTCAAACAGAGGAAATAAGACAAATCCCCCATCAGAGGATATCAAACAAATCCTCCCACAAGAGGATATAATACAAATCCTCAGTCAGAGGATATAAGACAAGTCCTTGCTCAGAGGATATAAGACTACTCCTCAAAAAGCGGGTATAAGACAGGTCCTCAATCAGAGGACATAGAATAGCGGAGGGTATATAGGACACATATTATCAAAACCTAACAACCGTTGGAACAAACTGCTCGCTCCAAGGGAAAATACACAGTTCGCATAAACTACTCAATACCAACTTAAATAACAGACTTAACATAACCCTATCAATTATCATCTTGCCGTATTGCTCCTACGGCATGTTTTATCGCTCCGCGGTAACTCCTGTACAAGGTATATTGTCCCATGGGGTTAAAATGTACCCCGTCTGCTAAAAAGGGGGTTATGGATGGGTTGGAGAAACCTCTATGCGTCCAACAAATGGCTTGTTCTATGGGCTCGATCACTACCCGGGTGTACTGATTCAAAAGCTTGGCTCTCTCATTAAAATTAGAGCCCTTGTTTGTCGCACGTGGAGTGACTTGGCACAAAACCACGGCGCGCACGGAGTACTCCGCGACCAACGAGCGAACAAGTTCCTCGATGTCAGAACCCACTACCTCAGGTGGGGCAAGAGCTAAGTCGTTCGTCCCGATATCGAGAATGACTATATCAGGGGATATTCTAGTGATTACCCCCATATCCATCTTTCTTAGTTTTGGGACTGTTCGACCTCCCACGCCATGCATAAATATCTCGGCCGTTCCCTGCAGGTCAAAATTTTTGGCTGCTCGCTCGTCGAAACGTGCATGTAGATCACTGCGAAGTCTACGCACAAATGAATGGCCCAAAATGAGTACCTTAGGTATATCATTGCCCGTGGACGAAACATCCATTGTATTAAAGCTATAGAATTCCGGTCAGCGCTGGATATATACCAGTAAAATTAATAATAGGCTACCACTACCAACGTGACCGCAAGAAATGTTGATCGAATATACTATAAGCGTTACAAAGGAAAAACTCACCTGAATATATAGTGAAAATAGTGAAAACAATTACTTCAATCTTCACGAGAAAATCGCAATGTATACAAATTACTGCTGAAAAGATTAATGACTTGCCTCGACAGCTGACTATAAGCGACTAAACGTAAAATGTTTGAGTGTGTCTATATGACAGCACCCTGTAAATAATCTAGTTGTTCCATCAGTTAAACTATTTGCCTACAGCTAAAGTTTTATCTTTGCAAAGCAGGTTTCCTCCACACCCTTGGCAGAGTTAATTAATATGATAATAATAACAAGATGACAGACATAAAATTCCTATTCGCAAGCAAATATTCTATTTTCAATGTCACTACAGGGATCTATCAGAAAAATGTACACTATTTCAAATTCAAATTAGCCATAACCTTTTAAATATTCTTTGCTCTGCAGTAAGCTCATAAATATCCATGCTTCTCAATTAGTATTGTTAACTTTCATAAACATCCTCGGTCCCAGGGCCTCACGGCTGACACTGCGTTGCCGAAGGCCCTGGCGAAAACCAAAACGAGAAGTGATTTGATTGGTCGCATGAAAACAATGGAATGCGGAAATTGAACACGAACTTGTACTAATAAGGGACGGATCATTTGATTTTTGATGGGG